TTGTGGTCACATGTCAAAGGCCAATGCATTGTGTTTGTAGACTTGCATTCAACATTTTATTAAACTACTATTTTATGAATGTATGTCAATAAGTTTGATATCAAATTGTAGATTATAATTCAAATTGTAGTATTATACATTAGTTAATTTCTTAATTTAAAAGTAAATATATAAAAAAAAAACCTAAATATGGATTTTTGTGTGTCGTGATATGTTGAATGCAGCATTGGTTCAGACTAGATGTTTGTGATATCTAGGTACAAAGTCTATAGTTTCTTACGAATTAGAAGCTCAAATTACCAATATTGAAAAGCTAAAATATCAAATAAGAACCTCCTATTTTTTCTATTTACTGAAATGTCCCTACATTTATTGAGTAAAACACATTGGCCCTGCCCACCCCTTTCCATTTTATGGAAATACTTGCTTTGTACACGTACTTCTATCTATGATGTGTGAATAATCATTTGAAAGCTTGAAATGTTCCACTTGTGGTTTTCTGAGCCTCTGTGAAGTATTTACATGGGAAAACCTTTCTTTTCATGGTAGGTTCCAAGTGGTAAGGTAAGACATTAGTGAGATCCAAAAATCATATTTTTTAGACCCAAATACAGCTTAGTTACTAAGCCTGATAAATTATAGTGGAAGTCTGTGATATTGATATAGTAATTTATGATTTTTTGTTATTTCAAAATGTATATATAAAACCTGAAACAATTATTTTGTTTTACATTCTCCACGTGTGAAATTTGATAAGGCTTAGCAAAATGTGGCAGGAAGCAAAGTGCATAACTAGAAAAGATAATTGTTTTCTATACATCTTTATTTACCATTCTGTTTTAAGAAAAATAACTGAAATTTAAGAACTTATTTGTAAATAGTAATAATGTATATATGTATATAATGTATTATAACCAAAATGTGATTGTATCTTACAAAATAGTGATCCACTAAAACACAACCAAGATAGGCCACTTTTTAAAGGCCAGTTTCATATTATACGATACAGTAACATGAGTGCATGTGTGCGCATCATTCAACTTCTGTAACGTTAGTCAAACACTGCTGAAAGGTCAATAAAATATAAATAATAAATTTTTATATATGTATAATGTTATAAGATTTAAGCTATTTAGGCTAAACAATTGTGTTTTTGTGATATGATGTAGTAATTCTAGAATGATAAAAGCATAACTTATATCTATTTCCTATTTTTTATGCTTATGAGGTTAGTCAAATCGACCAAACCCATACAGAGATACAATAATGTAAGTAACAAATAAAATAAAAAAGTTTTTATAATTATCTAGAGGGTTATAAAGATTTTGCATGTTAAATTTGAAAATTTTCTAATGCATAAAGGTATTTTTATTCTTAAAATCAAAATTGCTTTGCATGTTGGATAGTCAATATTCAAAAAAGGAAAATTCATGAGCAAATCATTACTTAAAAAATCTTAAACTTCATAAAAATATTTGATATTTTGTGTATGAAAGCTTTGTAACATTTACTGATAATCTGCAAAATTTTGTGAAGATACACTTACTGTATTAAAAGGTATAGCATGAAAACTATAACAAGCACAAAATGGTTAGGAGGTAGGTCCCTGAGACCAAATCCATAGTGAGAGAGTTAAGATGATCTTTCAGTTGTAAGATATGAAAATATTTTTTCAGAATTCATGAAACGTTTCTGAGTATAAAGTGATAGGAAATAACAAGAGGAATTATATTTGAAACTTTAGTATTACTTCTTTTTAGGATGTTTTCCTGCTGAGTGTTGTTAGCTTTTATTATCTGTCTGTCAGTTTTGATATCTTTATATCCTCTTTGTAATATGGTTTATTTTAGGTCCTTGGTGTGTTTTCTGTAATCTGTTTCATCTGCACAGATTTTCATTATTCTAAGAGCTTGACTGTAGGTAATGTTCCTTTTAGTTTGAACCTAGTGACAACATTTATGGTGAAGGTACTGTGGTCTGTCTGTAGGATTCTTGTACAAGTCAGTATGTACAATTCCATCCTTTAAAAAAACAGTGATGTCAAGAAAGTTAGTTTGAATAGGAGAGTAATTAACCTGAAGATGACAATCTACTTACATTGTAAGCAGGTTTTGTAACCCTCATGAAAATACTTTACAAAAATGAAACTAGTGGATGAAATTATTTGAAATTTGACATGAACATTCCTAAAAGTATGTAGGATCAGAAAAATAAGATATTTAATTTTGATTTTTTCTACTGTTTCTAATAAAAAAAAATTCCTTGTTCACATGCAAGGTGATTTTCATTGTGAGTATAAAAATACTATTTATTTTCTTACAGTTTTCACATTTCATTTGCATAATCTCTAGAACTTCCAAAATGAATATCAAAAGTTTTTAAGGTAAATGTTTATATTTTATTTTCCATTTTCTCTACTATATCACTAACACTAGTTATTATTATCATCAACATAAAGTGCAATGAAATGTTTAAAATTAAGAAATGAAAATATCTACATACGTTTTAGCTCTTCATAGAAGTATTTTGAAACTTCATTATCATTTCACTTAGTTTATTTTTAATTTTCCTTTCAAATTCCTTGTCTTTTATTATAGATGCTGGTACATAAACTAGTCCCCATGGGGCTCTATTATTATTATAGGGTGACTAATTTGCACAGACTTTCACTAATGCTCGTGCAAGCGAATGATGCCATCTTGTTTAGACACTTTCAAATCCAAGCTACATTAAACTTTTCAAATATGGATTTGAAACACAAATAACACATAATTAGTTAAGAAATAAATGTAAAACATAAATGCAATCTAACTGTGAAGCAAACTAATGCATATGAGGTGAGAAACACTTGCCAAGTGCTACGTACCCATTGAGAGAACAATGGACTAAGCATCTTTTCTATCTCGTAGTACAAATTCATACACTGGTAAGGTTTCCTCATCTACTAAGTAAATGGCAGGAAATTTGCTCTTTCTAGTGGTTATAAGCATGACTTTCAACTCCAAACTGTCGCTTAGCAACACAGCTTCAATTTTGTAAGTGGGCAAGGCTGACCTTAAACTTATAAAAAATTTACAACATTTCATGTAGGAAGAAATGGTTGGAAATTTTCCAAATGATAATAAAAGACATCTGTGTACTGTACTTTGACCAACTGAATTAACAGTCTATATTAGTTACTCAAAGTTTAGTATATAAGACTTCTTAAAAATTGAGAATTGTAACCATGAGCAGCTCATGTGACAGTAAAATTGCAGTTTTAATTTCTGTTTTAGATGTTTCTTTTTAAAATAAAGGAACAAAAATTAGATAATATAAAACATACTTCATGATAATAATTTCATTAAATACATGTATTGCAAAGTAGATTAATCAAATTTTGAATGTAACTCGGTAACATGTACAGAAGGGGTTAATGTGGTTTAAAAATGGCATCATTGCTATAAGTTAAAGGTAAACATGAGCTAATAGAGAGGTAAAAAGAAGCTTATTGGATTGCAAATCTAAATACTGTTCAACCTTGTGTAATAAATCTAGACCTTGGAATCAGTGACTTCCAATTATTGGTTTGTTCTCTGTTAGAAAAACTATTATTATTATTTTTTTCATGTAGTGTGAACTCATGATGTTTACCACTAATCTCTCTAATACTTAATACACTGTAGCCCCATTATAAAGCGATCGGTTAGGTCCATAAAATGTCATCACAAAACAAGCAGGGTCGCATTAAATTGGGGTTTTGTAAAGATACACTTAAAATATTAAAAGTTATTAGTATGTAAACTATAACGAGGTTATGGTTACGATGGTCAGGTCCCAGGAACCAAGCCCGTGTTGAAAGAGTTAATGACCCATCTTGTTATAGCCAAATTTGCATTAAATTGGGGCGTGTAAAATCAGGGTTTCACTGTATTTATTTATGATAATTTTCCATGCCTGTCTTTAGAAGTTGATCTGCTTAACATATCTTTCTCAATCAATCTCCTTCTGTCATCTTTATTTTACTTTATAATAACACATATAGGTTTTCTTGACCATTTCTAAAGCAAAACATCTCTAACACTTTTTTACATAATGTTCTCCTTTCTGGCCCTGTTTCACCGGGCACAAGTGGAGCTTACAAATGTACATTGAAAAAATATTCAAAAACACTTACTGGAAGACCAGTTACACCACCATTCCCAGTTTGCCCCTGAAGAAGAAAAGTCCACCTTTCAAAAGTGCTCGGGTTACAGAGTTTTATTTTTTATATTTATTGCATACATTTAGCTATTTCTATCAGCTTATTTAAAATATTTTAGAAGTTTGTAAACCTCACAGGTAATAATTACCAGAAAAAATGCCTATTTTTTAGATTGATTTTCATATTATTTATAGGGATATTCGTAGTACTCCTTAATTGTGATTTTAAAAGCAAAACAAAACTTTATTCTTAAATTGTTTACAAAGTTGTGATCATCAAGGTGTTACAGCATAAAAAAATCATTAAAATACTATAAGAAAAACAAGAGAATTGCTTGTAAAAGAAAGTTAATGAATAGAATATATTTTTTTATTTTTTCATTCTATTTTTGTACTTTGAAGTTAAATTCATTTTTTTAATACTTTGGTTTAATTGATAACTTCATGATGTAATAAGATTGTTCCCTTGTACTATTATAAATTATTTCAGCTTTTTAATTGTAGAAAATTGGAATGTAATTTAATATATCAAACTTATTTTGTGGTGTTTAAATATGATACTGTATTTGTACACACACACACATATATATGTGTGAATATGTATATATATGGTTCATTGTTAAACAAAATATATCTACAATGTATAATTTCTGAACTATTAATCTTTTTTTTAACATTTTTGTTTTGTATGTTTTGGCTTATTTAATCATGTTGATTACACAATATGTGGTTCTAAACATGAGTGTTTTGTTCATGATTTGATTTTCATTTTACAGTAATTTTGTTTAATGATCAATGAATGTGCATTTGTTTTTTAGAAAACTTCAGAACACAATGAAATATGGGACGACACAGCACTAATTGAAGCTTATGACAGAGCAGTGAGTCAAATGAAAGTAAGAAAAATCATGTCACTGACAACACAATGAAATTATTTATTTGATTTTTGCCAGATATATTTCTTGATAACTGTTAACAGGCAATCAATAATAAAAGGGTTGTAGAGTTTACTTTTACTGAAAATCTTGTCCTATAAGTTTCATTTTTTCTATATTAACAGTACATAGTGTTATTCCTTTTCAGAACCATTCCTCTCAATGTTATTTCCTTTTATTTTTAGTATTAGTCTTATTCTTTTCATGATTATGATTTTTCAGTGTTATTACAGTGTACTGCTGTAAGAACAGTGAGACTTATCTAAATCTTATCTTAAAATATTACAGTGCCACACTTTTGGTTACTTCAGGAAGCAACTTATAATTAACTAATTCAAAGCAATAAAAAATGGTTTAAGTCTATATGCTTCCTTACTCAAGTATTTTCATAAGATAGATTTTAAGTATGCATGACATCAGGCAAGATGATTCATATTTTGTGCATATTCAATATTTGTGTGTTGTACTCAAAATCGCACTGATAACCTAATATGAATGAGCAGAGAATATGAGCAGTGCAATAACTGACTATATGGAAATTCTTGAGTGCTTTATCCATGGATTTAGCTAGGCACTCTTATAAACTATTATTCGGGACCATTGAAGGCAGTCATGCTAATATAATAATAAGTTGGCAAACTGATTTATAAGCATAAGGAAAAGTTTTATTGATAGTGGAACATACAACATGTTTTGACAGAACATTGATCTGTCTTATTTGAGTATGATCAGTACTACGCAAATGGCCCCAGCAACATCAGCCATATTTGGCGAGGTCTGTTCACCATTCATATACTTGAGCTCTACCTAAATCCTGTCACCTGCTGACAATAAACTTAAAACTTTTTATAAAGTATAAAATGAAACCTTCTGATTAACCCTATCGCCATGGGTATTCTTCACTGTGTATGACATAAGGTTTTAGTATCTTACACTCAAAATGTTATTAAACTACATTTTGTTTATGTTATACCAATTAGAATAGCATAAGCTTTTACCTAATAATCCATATTTTAATAGTATACAAGTTTTAAGTTCTTAATTCTACAAGGAAATTCTGAATTTCCCCTAGTGTGACCGACGTGACACATTTTGTTTTAGCATGTCATCATCCCTATTTTATCCTTCACCCCTTGAAGATGTATGAAATTAAATGTAAATTACTCTATAAAATTATTATTGCTCAGACAAACCATAATTTTTATAGGCTTCAATTTTGTTTGGTTACAGAGCTATTGATTGGAAAATCAGACCCCTCCTGCCACACCTACCTGTCACAATCCTCTCTTTCAGAATTTGTTTATAGTTCTCTCTTATATTTAATTATATATAGAAAGTCAAGGTTTTCATCTATCAAATGGTATTTTGTATGATGTTATATTCTGAATGGTTAAATGTCAATTTCACTCAGAGCACCAACATCATTCCCATGTAAAAGTTAATGACTAACTTGGATGAATTTGTAACAACTTTTGTCGCATAATTAGAAAGCCAGAAAAATTTTGAGTGGTAAGGGAATTTGTCTACTTTTTGTATGTTATTAGTCTATATTCTTTGGTGCATTATTTAATTAAATAAAAATTATTAATTGCATTACTATCATTATTATAAAAAAATTAGAGTTAACTTTCTTCGACAATCGACAGCAAGTAAAAAGAAGATTGGTTAAGTATTTTATTTCTTGTTTTTCATGTTTATTCTTAATGTATAATTATAAAAGTAACTAAAATGTAAAAATAGGGTTTCTTTTAGGATAGTTAAGATTAGATTAGGTAAAATGAATAATAAAAATGTTTCATGAGGCACACACGCGAGCAGCCCATAGTAGTTTGTGGGTAATGTAATTCGTTAGTGTAATGTGAGCTGCATGTTTTCCAAGTGATCAATAAAATTTAATTCTAAATAGATGTATACTGTTACAAACTTAAAGCTACTTAGGATAAACGAATGTAGTTTCATGTTACAATTTGAAATAATTCTAGAGAGAAAACAGGGTAATTTAGATTTTTTTTTGGTGGCTACGAGTTCGGTTGAATTGAATGATTCTGTTTTGAGATAGGGTAGAGAAAATAACAGTTAAACTATGAAGTTTTACTGAAAAAAACGTTTGAAGTGAATTTAGGAGGTTTTAGGGATTACACAAAGGAAATTTGAGATTTTGAGATGAGGAAAAGTATTACAGTTTAACATGAAAATTATTTTGCACATGGATTATTCAAAACAAATATTCAATATATTCATGGACAAATCTTTATTTCATTTTATTAAAAATACTTCACTAAAAAATATGATTTTTTGTATATGAAAGACTTGTAATATTATCAGAAAGACTGCCAGATGAAGATATACACACTATATTGACAATTAGAAGTATTAAATCTGTAAAGACTTTACCCCTTTCGCCCCAGGTAGGTTAAAGTGCACGTGTCAAGACGTTTTGGAGCGTTATTTTCAAAATTTTATTAAACAACATTTTTACTACTTACATCAATGAAATTGGCATCAAAACATGGATTATAATTTAAGTGTTGATATTATATATGTTTTAATTTCTTAATTTAAAAGGAAATGTAAAGAAAAAAATGTTAAATATTGATTTTGTGTGTCACATAACACGTCCAGTGTTCATGATTGAAGTCTAAAAAAGTTAGTATATCTACCCCCTCCATCCAGAAGAATAAACGAGATTTACGTCAAGGCTTAGCAAGTTCGACGCATGAGCGATGCAAGAGCGCAACATTTCGTACTCAAAATCTTTGTTTGTCAGTGTATTTCTCATTTACTTTCTAAGTGTGGTGAAAGTGAGAGAGGGTAGTATCATTTATAAGAATGTGCCCAAATAACACCTTCATATACTTATGCTGCGAAATTCCACACACATCAAGTGGGTGACCATACTACTGAAATACCTGCTATGTAATTGGATAAGCCCGGGTCAGAACCTACAATATTTATTGGATCAGCCCAACTCTGAACCATATAATAAATGTTTTTACACATTCTAATTGCAATTTTATTACCCTGGGAAATTCCTGTTTAAAGTGTTGTAGGAACTATAAACTGCTATATCCTATATTGTGTTCTCAGAGCAAGGGAAATGTCACCTCACTGAATACTTGTGCATTTTTGCGCTCGAGAGTTTTGTATTATGGTTGTACATAAAAACTGTGTCTTCTAACATGGGCGGTGAATTATTGCTTTTTTGTAAGCGGGTTTGTAATTTGTCGGTGACACTAAAATAAACACATAAAATATGTCAGATATATTTAGCAGTTGAAACTGTTAGGGGAAGAACTTTGAAACTTCATAATCAATAATGAAGAAAAAGAAAACAGCTGCTCATTATATTTCTGATTTTACAATTTTTCTTTTCATTCTACTTCAGTGAGTTAGCTACAGGCTGAAGAATCAAATAATAAATGTAATAACAGATAAAATATAATGTTTTATTGAAAAAAAGGTATATATGTATTTAGGAGGTTTCAGAGGTTGTGCAAATGAAATTTGAGATTTTTTAAAATGAAAATCACTTTGCACTCAGTCTAGTTAAAAAAAAAAGAATCAGTATTTTCACAGACAAATATAAGTAAAAATATTTCATAAAAAATCTGATTTTTTTGTGTGCAAAAGGCTTCTAATGTTTACTATAAGTCTACAAAATTTTTTGAAGATACACTTAAAATATTAAAAGTTATAACATGAAAACTGTAAAAAGCACAAAATGGTTATGAGGTTGGTCCAGGGACTGAGCCTGTGTCGAAAGAGTTGTCGAAAAAGTGGCTCAGCGATAGCTTTGAGTGCTTATAATGCCCCAAATTTGTGTTTGATACTCATTTTGAGCACAGTGCGTAGAGCCAATTGTGTAGCTTTGTCCTTAAAAACAAACCTCACTAATGTTTTAAGTATTAGTATATATATAAATTACATAAATGGAATAATAAATTATTACTTGACCTTCACCGTCACGAGCTATGACTTGTATGTACAAACGACAGATCAGTTTGTATTTTTCAAGTCTCTGTAGATCCATAAAATTGGGTCATTGTATAATGTAAGTACTCAACATGATTTGTTCACATAATTAAATCATTGTTCCAAATTGGAAGGCATATGTAAAAAAGAAAAGGCATCAGTTTTTAAGTTAACTTTGTTTTCATTCATTATATATAGGCAATAAGTTTTAGTAAATTACATTCAAAATCTAATTAAACTATGAAATTTAGTTGAATGTGAATGGATAGCAACTGCCTGATGAAGAAACACAAGTATAAAGGACGACATTTCAAAAGTCTTTCACCTTTTGATTCTGAAGACAAAAGATGGAAGTCCTTTGAAATGTCATCCTCTACACTTCTGTTTCTACAACAGGCAGTTGCCATCCATTCAATTAAATTTCACCGTGAATATCCTGCCTGAACAATCTATTAGTTAAGCTCCTTTCTTTTCATGGTATACCAATAAGTATAGCATAAAAACATAGTTAATAATCCATATTTGAATAGTATATAAGCTTTAAGTTCTTACTTTAATAAGGCAATATTTAAAAACGTATCTGGATTTCCCTTAGTGTGTGTGTGAATTGTGGCATTTGCTCTCTAGGCATCCTCCCTTATTTTATTTACATCACCAATCACCATATTACTTGTATGCTAATCTGCAGTTATAACACCTGCTATTTAAAACTAAATGCTACTATATATTGCATTACACATAGGCTTGCTAAAAGTTTGTATGAACTTCATCTGGTGTACATATTTACATCAAACATTAGCAATTATCCACGATATTCAACAGGTCTTGTAGATCTATTGTGATCCTATTTGATTTCAAAGATCATAAAGAATGTACTGACACCAACACTAGTTTTAGTTTTGTATGCTGACCTTTTTGAATTTTTTAAATTAATTCTTTTTTTTTCATTGTTATTTTTTCATAGAAGAAAACATTAAAACAAACACTGTGAGGTTAACATGTTAAAGGTTTGCAGTTAAAATGTTAATAAAGTTTATTTTATGCACGTAATTTTTATTCTTCATGCTTTATTTTTCATTGTATAATTTATTACTAGGTCTTGGTCTCGACCCCTAAGGTCTCAGTCTCGAACCCTCATGTCTCGGTCTTGGACATTGAGGTTCCGACTACAACAGTGTTATTTACATCATCACGTCCACCTGCCTCTGTCAATACAGGTAAAGGAATTGCAGTGTCAGGCCATATATTTTATACCCTCTCTAATGTTTATATGTCATCAGTTTGTACATTCAAAGGCATCTTGCCTTGAAAGTTTAACCTCTGCTCGTTGTGGTGGTAAGCACTATGACAACTGTACAATTATTATTTGGTCATGCCCTTTTTCATTGGATGGGATCTGCCCCACTGATCCAGGACAGGATCCATGGAGATTGATAAATATCTTAAAAATAAAAAAAACACCAAGTTAGTCATGAATCACAACATTAAGCCTCTCTGCAGAGATTCCAACATTTCCTAGGTAAAAATGCCCATTCTAATGCAATAAAACCATCAAGGTTTAATTTCTAATTTAGATGACATTATCCCTTGAATGTCAGCATTAAATTTCCAGTCATTAACATCAGGTGGTATGGAGTCATAATGACTCCATGCTGGCACTCTAAGGTTATGGCCTTGATCAATTCTTATCATCTTATTTGTCTCTCCTTACATTAGATATTCCTGAAAACTCCAAATACACTCACATTTTGGCAGCTTTTCTTTGTATGGAAAAGCCAGGTTGTGTGATGGATGGGTTCATGGAGGTGGTGTGTAGCTGATTGACAAGCATACACCGTCCATGATTGTACGATTAAATACAGCACAGGAGGCTGTTGCCACATTTGTCTCCATTGGTCATGCATCACACTTTGTTCTCTTTACATGTTTCCAGGAAAGGATTTACCTCCTATCTTTTATCAATCTTACACTCTGATGGCCAAGATATACAGAATATTGCTAAAACCCTAGGTAGGTGCTTTTCTCGCCAATCCACACATTTACTCCTTTTACTTCTTTCTTGACAATCAAGACACTGGTGGAAAGAACACCACCTTCGTTTCAAGCTGATAGTTTCTATGATTGTAAACAACCATTTTCTCAAATTGAACTTAAAGTTACTCTAAACTGGTCTGGCAATACATCAGTTGGGCCAGATGACATTCATTGTGAGATGCTGTGCAATCTCCTTACTGCCTTTCTTGATCTTCTGATTGTTTTTAATCAAATTTGACAGGAGGAGGATTTTTTAAATGCATGGTGTAAGGGTACTATTATCCATTTTTCTAAGCCTGGAAAGGATCCCAAGATTATTTCTAATTAAAAACCTGTTGTTTTGATTAACTGTCTCTGTAATGTTATAGAGAGGATGGTAAATTGTTATCTTGTTTGGTATGTTGAATCAGATAACATCCTCTCACCCACCAAGTGTATATTCCACAAATGGCAATTAACTGTGGACCACCTGGTTCAACTTGAAAAACCAGTCAGAGAACTCTTCTTGAAGAGGGAGAATCTTGTTTTGATGGTTTTTTTTATCTTGGGAAGGCTTATGACATCATGTAGAGGTTTGGCATGTTAAGGGACCTTCAATCATATGGATTGTATGGCCATCTACCCATTTTTATTCATAATTCTTTAGCTGAAAGATCATTCCTACTTGGAATCCCTCAAAGTTATGTCTTTAGTATCACACTTTACAGCATTAAGATCAGAGCCATTACCAAGCAACTTCCTTGTACAGTTGCAAACAACCTCTGTGTCAGTGACTTTTCAGATTTCTTGTTGGTCATTGAAAATGGGTTACATTGAGATGAAGCTTCAGGTTGATCTCACTAACTTGTCTCTGTGGGCCACATCAAAAAGTTCCACATTTTCATCATTTAAAAGCATTTGAATGCATTTTTATCACCAGCGAGAATTAAACTCCGATTCCAAGCTCCATTTAGTAATTGCCATATTTCCTGAGATGACTAAGACAAGGTTTTGGACTTCTGTTTAACCAAAAGCTGACATGTATTTCATAGATTAAGTAGCTAAGAGTCAAGTGTACAAGGACACTGAACATCCTCCATATTTTCTCTTCCACCTCTTGAGGGCAGATAGGTGTTCTGTGCTAAAGAACTGTTGTGTTGTCATTTGATCTAGGCTGAACTATGGATCTGTGATCTATGCTTCAAACAAGGACTCTCTCTTGAAGATTTTGGACCACGTGCATCATCAGGGGCTATGACTCTGCACAGGACCTTTCTGAACTTCTCCAATCCATAGTTTGTACACTGAGTTCTGTGAACCTCCATTTCTAATATGCGTCTCATCCTACTATGTATTTTGCAAATGGTATTGTAACTTTTGGTCTTTGTCACCAGGCGGGTTGACTTAAATCAACATAGATCTGATATTGGATAATATTGTAAATTCTGTGATTAGCCCATCAACATGGTTTCTTCTATTCCCATTTGTATGTATAGGTTGAAATCGGGTTACTGTAGGTTCTACCATGGTTTGCTGTGGCTGCTTGCAAGATCCACTCTGCAGATTCTGTGTTCACTGTTGAGTTATATGCCATTTCACTTGTTCTGGATCAAGTAGAAGCTAAACAGAACACTAATTGTTTTTGCTATCTTCTGAAGTACAGTACAACTATATGGTGAATCTTGTTTTGGCTATCTTCTGAAGTACAGTACAACTATATGGTGAATCTTGTTTTGGCTATCTTCTGAAGTACAGTACAACTATATAGTGAATCTTGATTTTGGCTATCTTCTGAAGTACAATACAACTATATGGTGAATCTTGTTTTGGCTATCTTCTGAAGTACAATACAACTATATAGTGACTCTTGATTTGGCTATCTTCTGAAGTACAGTACAACTATATGGTGAATCTTGTTTTGGCCATCTTCTGAAGTACAGTACAACTATATAGCGAATCTTGATTTGGCTATCTTCTGAAGTACAGTACAAGTATATGGTGAATCTTGTTTTGGCTGTCTTCTGAAGTACAGTACAACTATATAGCGAATCTTGTATTTGGCTGTCTTCTGAAGTACAGTACAACTATATGGTGTAATCTTGTTTTGGCTGTCTCCTGAAGTACAGTAAAACTATATAATGAATCTTATTTTTGCTATCTTCTGAAGTACAGTACAACTATATAGTGAATCTTGATTTGGCTATCTTCTGAAGTACAGTACAACTATATAGTGAATCTTGTTTTTGCTATCTTCTGAAGTACAGTACAACTATATGGAGAATCTTGTTTTGGCTATCTCCTGAAGTACAATACAACTATATGATAAATCTTGTTTTGGCTATCTTCTGAAGTACAGTACAACTATATGGTGAATCTTGTTTTGGCTATCTTCTGAAGTACAGTACAACTATATAGCGAATCTTGTTTTGGCTATCTTCTGAAGTACAGTACAACTATTTAGTGAATTTTGTTTTGGCTATCTTCTGAAGTACAGTACAACTATATAGTGAATCTTGTTTTGGCTATCTTCTTTGCACTACACACTATCTCTGAGCAATTTACCAAACCAAGTTACACATTTTTTTTGTCACTACTACGTATTTTAAGAATGTAATGATTTTTATACAATTTTATTGCATAATTTAAATTATTTTATAATAAAAAAGATTTTTCCAAGTTATTATTTCCCGGAAGAAAAATGTAATGCTCAGCTTGGTAATAAGTCCAGTAATTTGCTTTTAATCTTTTTTTTTGTTGTTGTTTTTTCTTCAGTATCACTGTAGAAAGTTCTATAAATATTTTATAACTAAGTGGATGATAACTTTAGAAAGACTTGTACTAAATTGTAGTTTTATTGATTAAGCAGTTTTCCTGATACAGACAGAACACGTTTTTCACATTGCAAATTTTCTGCTGATTAATGAATAATGGATTAATCCTTTCCAGATTAATGTCTGAAATATGTTTCAAATTGCCCACTTAGGGCCATCTCAACTTTAAAGAGAAATCATACATACCAAATTGCATTATAAGGTGTGTCTTTTTAAGTGTTTTTCATAGTATTGTTTCTTTCCTTTTTGACCAGGAAGTAATTTCAAAGAAAAATAAGAATCAAGTTCCAGAAGATGAAAAAATAACTGGAAGAAAAAAGAACAAGAAAAGAGGAAAAGGGAAGCGAAAACCAAAAGTGAGTTCGTGAACATATTTCATAAATTTCAAATAAGAAATTATCTCATCTCTACTTGTGTTTATAAACAGTGGTGAAAAATGGCAGATTCACAAAATGTACCTCAAAGAGTTTATTGAAGAATTTTTTTTAAATACATCTATTAAACATTATTTAAAATTATTACTTTAACTTCAAGGAATTTTTTAGTTTTTGTATTTGTTTCACTCGATACAGAGTATTATTAGTAGACTAAAGGAGCTTAAATCTAAAATACATGTGGTGTTTCAGTCTGCTGCTCTTCTTGTAGGAGTTTGTCCTGAAAACTGCTCTGTGTGTTAGTAAAAGTAATTCATCCTCCTTCAGAAAATTGTATGGATTTTAGAATACTGAACTTTTGTATACATAGTTATTTTTGAATGCAGAATAGGATGTATGAAACAGAAGAAACATATCCCTAGGTTTAAGCCACAATTACTACTGCAAGTAGAAGTCTTATAGTAAATGCCATTTTCAATTAAACATTGACTCAAAATATGTATTAGGTATTTTTAATTGAGCTCAAGTATCATACTTTAACAACTTGGTATTTATTGAGATACCACAACAGAAAAATTCTATGGAAGTCTTAGTTTTGAATGGATGTGTAAATAACTCTTGAGTATTTATGTGAGGAGCACTGGTTTGGTTATATTAGAATTTTCAAGATGTAGTACATTTTTCACACAAATAAGCTGGGAATGAACTGCTTTCAAGTGAAGGATATTTGTGTCATTTATTAGTGAAAATTTTGAAAATGAGTGAACTTTTCATATACTGATATAATGTTTACGATATGCTTATATTCTCTATAGAGTGAACACTTTATTGTACATACGTTTAACTTGTTCCGAATATATATATATATATATATATATATATATATTTGAAAACAAGTAAGGTGTATGCTGTTTATTCATCGTTGAATTTATCACTAACAAATCTTATACTATTAAGAAATATAACTAAAAGCCATTTATTTCGATAATTGGCAAAAAACAACAAACAGAACCCATGTACATATATAATATTATTTATTAAAATCTTACATGGCACAATCTCCTTTATGCGGTAATTTGACTTAATTAGTCATGTGTCATATGCTTTTTTTTATTAGGTAAAGTGAGGTTAGATAAAGAGAAATAAGAATAAAAATTCACAAGATTTGCATGCTAGTAGCTTGTGTGTTATGTAATTTGATATGGTAATGTAAGCTATGTGTTTGCCAAGTGATTTACAACTTGTTTGTGGTGGGATTATTAGTTAGAGACAGTTCAAAGGGCAACGAAACAATAAAGTTTAAGTAAAAACAGATATATACTTTTATGAGTTTAAGGCTATTTAGTGCAAATAAATGTAGTTTATTTATTCTATAAAGAAAAAAAAGTAATTTAGATCTAGTCAAATTGATCAACCTTGTATTTAGAGTTGGGTCACATTTCAATTATTATACATTATATATGTATATAGGTTATTACTATTTAGAAATACGTTCGTAAACTTATTTTTCTCAAAACACAGAACAGTAAATAATAAAGGAAAGCAAACAATTATCTCTTCCAGTTACAACCTTTGTACTCGGTTGCTGCTTGGTGGAGGTTGCTAAGTCTTTAAAAATTTTGCACATGGAGGATATGAAACAAAATAATTTCTTTTTACGTTTTATATATGCATTTGAATAACTACAAAAGCATAAATTACTACATCAGTACCATAGAATTCCACTATAATTTATCAAGCTTAGTAATTAAAATGTATTTTAGTCTAAAAGATTATGAAATTTTCGAGCAGACTAAAGACACACCCTATATCTTCGAATTATTGGTTCAAAAGAAATAAATGGCATCAAGTCCATTAGAATGGCTGAAAAAGACACTAGGGGGACATTCTGAGCTTCCAATTGGTTATTCATGTCATATATAGAAGAAAATAGTGTGTAAAAGGGAGTGTTTCCAAAAATGGAAAGAGGTGAGCGGGGTGCCACTGTTTTTGATTTATTACATGAGCAATATCTTAGCAAATAGAAAAGATAAGACATTCTTATTTTATATTTTAGCATGTCAATTTTGGTAATTTGAGTTTCTAATTCGTATGAAACTATAGACTTAGTATTTTCACTTCACAAACAACTAATTTGAACCAGTGCTGCATTCAACATACCATGTGATATACAAAAATCGATGTTTATCTGTGATTTTTAATATTTACTTTTAAATTGAGTAATGTGTAATACTAAAATTTGAATTATAATCTACAGTTTGATACCAAACTTATTGACATAAATTCATGAAATAGTAGTTGAATAAAATTTTGAATGCAAGTCAACAAACGTGATGACATGGCCTTTCACCCATGACTCGTCTCGAAAGAGTTAAAAAGTTGTAAAATAGTATGAGTTGATTTTAATGTATTTATGGTGTCAATCATACATATATTTACACTTTCTTTGTTATCTGTTTGTGACTTCTGTCTCAAACAATTCTATTTCAAACCTTTTTCAATGTGATGTTTTGTTTTCATAGCTGGTTCATGTTTTTGACTTTTATTTCTTTATATTTCATTTGATTTAAAATTAAGGTTAGATATCGCCAGGACAGCATGAATGTAAAGATTAAGAGTGTAATGTTATTTGGACATATATTATGCATTCCTTCTATTTTAGCGTATAAAGGTGATCATTCAGTTGTTAACAGAATTTTCTAAGTTTTCCATACGTATACTTGTGCAATATATTTTCACGTAGCAAGTGCTGTTAACCAAATTTTGTGACTACATGAGTCATGTGGATATGTGGAAGCCTGTCTTATTTTAGTTGAGATCTAGCAAAAAGTGTACGTGGAATAAGCAGACATACAGATAAATGACACTTCTGCTTTATATATTTGTATTAATAATATTTTAATATGACTTATGATAGTGTACATTAGTCTTCATGTTAAGGTTATCAGTTTAATTTTTTATATCTATATGAAAAGTTAAGAATTGTATATTGTATTTTGTAATATAACAGCTGTCCAGTTTCTAATTAAATTATTCATAAATGGTTTCAACTTGAGTTTTGAGTTAAAGTTGAAATATATCTTGTGAAAAAAGTTAATAGACCAGCATAAGGTAAAAATGATTAGTAAGAAAGTTTGACATATGTTCCCCTATTTTATTAAGCCTGCGATGTGTATAAGAAAATTATTGGCAACTAGTAGTAACCATGTATACTGTTACTTTATAATTCAGCAGTGGAAATTGGGAGACTACTGTCAGGCAGTATTTTCTGAAGATGGACTTCTCTATGAGGCATGTGTCATGAGTACTAATGAACAAGAAGGAACATGTGTTGTTCACTTTGTTGGGTATGGTAATGAGGAAGAAGTTCGAACTGAAGATCTCCTTGTATCTCAAGGAAAGCATGCAAGAGCACAGCAGGAACTTGCAGCCCAGGGTTGTTTTGCTGATAACATTGAAATGGAGGTAAAATATATATCCCCAATCAGTAATTTAAGACTTGTATAACAACATAATAATCACTGAACTTTGTTGTAGTGTGTATATTTTCTTTACATAGGCTTTCTTGTAGGCCAGATATAACCATTTCTTCATTGGCAATTACATACTGTAAGAACCTAATTGGTGGATTTCATAAAAGGGCTATTTTCACTTGAGATTGCCTTTTCATTTCTGTCACTAGAGGTGTTCCTTAAATTGGATAAAACTTAGTTATATGTATTCTTATTTCTCCTAAAGATAGCCATAGCAACAGTATAGCATTATCATAATCTTTCAATTTCATCTGTGGAAATAAAGGTGGAACCTCTGTTGTTGTTGTTTGTGTGTGCATGTGAAAAAGTACAGTGTAGTTTTTATGTATGATTTTATACTTGGTAATTTATTATATAAGGCTTGATGTTACAAAAATCAAACTAGAACTTTTCTTGACAGTAATTTTGACATTCTGATAAATATATTTTGCTTTCAGCCTAAAAAAAGGTAAATTAAGATCTGTAATATTTTAGAATATATTTAGATGAAATTAACATTTATGGACATAACATGAAGATGTTTGTTAAAAAGCTAATACAACACTGAATCTTTCACTGTCAGCTCAGTATTAATAGCTGATGTGGAGTTTATAGTGATATAATTATGCAGTAGAAAGTACCGATCATAAGTCTATGCCCAACAAAAGAAAAAACAAAGACTAATTCACCAGTAAAGATCTAGAATGAGAACTCTGTTGCCAAAACTTATAGTCTCCCTTTGTGTTTTAGACTTTCGATTGGTTATTCACATGTCATAGACAGAAGTAGGTGTATGTAAGCATTTCCAAAAATGGAAGGAGGTGGGCATGGCCACTGTGTTTGAATCAGAATATGTACTGATATCTCAGCAAATAGAAGAGATAGGAGGTTCTTATTTTATATTCTAGCTTATTAATATAGATAATTTGAGTTTCTAATTTGTAAGAAAATATACATTTTGTATTTGAACATCACAAACATCTAATTTAAACCAATGCTGCATTCAACATATCACGTGACACACAAAAACTGATATTTAGGTGTTTTTTTTAATATTTACTTTTAAGTTAAGAAATTAAGTAATGTATAATACTAAAATTTGAATTATAATCTATGATTTGATACCAAACTTACTGAAATAAATTCATAAAATAGTAGTTGAATAAAATTTTCAATACTTATCAACAAACGTGATGATATAGCCTTTGACCTGTGTCAATAGGGTTAAGAGTTCAAGCTTGATCAATCCACATTTAATGATGTTTAATTATGTTGTTAAGCTATTTATGTAATGAATAATCATTTATATTATAACTATAAAACACTTAGCTCAGAATGTCTTCCTAGTGGCTTTCCCAGCCTTTTTCAAATATATGGATATGACATTATTTCTTCTTATACAAGATTCCAACCAGTATGGTAAAACTTTAGTGAGCTCAAAATTTCGTATTTTTTTAGACCCAAATATAGTTTATTACTGAGTTTGGTAAATTATAGAGGAATTTTATGGTATTGATATAGTAATTTACAATTTTTGGTTATTTCAAAATGTATATATATAAAGCCTAAAAAAATTATTTCATTTCACATCTTTCACATGCAAAATTTGAAAAGGCTTAGCATCCTACGGCAAGCAGCAAATGAGTACAAAGTTTGTAGCTAGAAGAGATAATTGTTTGCTATACTTCTTTCTTTATTGTTCTATTTTTTAAGAAAAATAAGTTTTAAGAACTTACTTGTAAACTAGTAATAATGTATATACATATATAACATATAACTGAAATGTGACTGTATTTTATAAAATACTACTCCACTAAAACACCGCCAAGACAAATCACTTTGTAGAGGCAGTTTTATATTCTTGGATACTGTAACATGAGTGCACATGCACCTCATTATTGCAACTTCTGTAATGTTAGCCAATTTGTTTTCAGTAACACTTTATATTTTATCTGTTATTTTCTCTACCCTAACTCTATACGAGGTCTGTCAATTTGACCGACCTCACAACCACCATAAAATATTAGGAAATAAACATAAATTATGTTTTTTCATTCTAGAATGACTGCAAGTTATAACATGAAAACACAAATGTTTAAGTCTAAAGAGCTTAAACTCATAATATTATATATTTATTATGTTGACTTTTTCAGGCGTATAATTTGAAATGTATTTAGGAGGTTGTAGAGATTACACAAATGATATTTGAGATTTTTGGAATGAAGAATAGTTTTAATCATAACATGAAAATCACTTTGCACCCAGACTAGTAATAAAACAGACTTGATATATGCACATGCAAATCTTTAGTGAAAATACTTCATTAAAAATCTGATTTTTTGTGTACAAAAGACTTGTAATGTTTGCTAAAAGTCTACCAAATTTTGTGAAGCTACACATACTACATTAAAAGTTATTATATAAGTACTTAACATGTGTAAGTGTGTATATGAACTCATGTATTTTATACCAAGCCTGTCGCAAAAGGGTTAATATCTTTATTTTTCACACCATGCATGTTAAATCCCATCACTTGTTTTATTTGAATAAATTGCAATGAAGAAACAGGCCACATCATTCAAACAAGGTTGTGCTGACCCTTCTATTACAGAGAGCTATCATGCTTGTCAGCAAACTTCTCCAGGTTTTTGTCCTGTGATCCATCTGCCTGCCTCAACCAATTTCTGGTTCTTCCCCAATTTCACATGGAATCCTTTATCACACTCTAGAGGGTTTTTCTCCTGGACTATGGATGACCAAGGTGCATGTCTCAAATGCATATCTCCATATTCATATTTATCATCAGTCCAGATGCTATCTTCAGTTTGTCCATTACAGGGTTGTGTTTACACCATTACTTGGATGACTGGCTTCTGATAGCTCATTCTGAACTGTAGTCTTCTCAACACACACCTCTACAGCTGGCAGTAGTAGTTAGTGTTGGTTGGATTCTGCATTTAAAGTTTCCTTTTGCCTACTCACTATCTTATCCACTTAGGTGTATTTTTCAACACCACCCTCAATCGGTCCCATTCTTCTCCACTTCTCCGTTTGATGGTGTTTTCTGTTCTCCATGCATTTATTACTTCCTCAGTTTCAGCACAAATGATTCTGTTCCTTTGCTTCTGAGGACTTGGGCATCTATGGAAGCCCTTATTCCATCAGGTCGTGCACATATGTGTTCTCTTCAGAGGTCTCTGCATGGCCCATGGAATCTTGCTCGGGATCCCTTGGACTTCTCAAAGACAGAACAACGACGGGAGTTCCATTTCCTCCACCTCATCCGGATTTGCATCGAATCACAGATCCTTTTCTCCAAGATTGGGGAGTATTGGTCCATCAGCAAGAGGCTTCTGGGCATTGGTCTCAGATCATTATGTCTTATCATTTCAATATTTTGGAGCTTATGGTGGTACGATGTGCTTTGAATCATTTTCTTCCACTGGTAAAGTATCAACATGTCATGCTCCATTCTGACAATTCTACCATTGTGGCCTGTTTCTCTCACTCTGAGGGTAGCTGCTACTATTCCCTTTGTGGTCAAACATTGGACCTCCTTTATTGGGCTCATACGCTACAGATAAATTTCCTTGTTATGTTTCTGTTGCTTTTCACCTTGTGGCAGATTCTTTCTCTAAATCTGATCTGATTTATCAAACAAAGTGGTTTCTTGATCATCAGGTTTTCAGGTGGCTATGCAATTTGTGGGTTACTCCTCATCTGGATGCTTTTGCCACTTTATTCCAATCTGAACTGAAGACATCTGTAACAGAAGAAAAAGACAGGGAGGAATAGACCAAACGAAGCAGTTGATGATCCCAAGTTGTAAGGGTGGAAGAAGAAAGGTCATGTACAGATCAACGATGCCAGTGATTGAAAAGGTAGAAATGGGAACCACTATGCAGGCAATGGAATAACAAAGAGCACATACTGGACACAGAAGTCTATCTGGACCAGGAATAAAGGAGGGAAATGGACAGAAGAGAAATCAGCAAGAAGGAAGAATGACCTTCACGAGTCACTGAAGTTTAGAGTAAGAAAAACTGATCCAGAAGAACCACACGACAAGGAAGTCAACTAATATAAAAGGAACATAAATGGAACCAGCTGGTCCAGTTCTGACAGGGAAAATACACTGCCAGTGTCTGAGGATGATGAAGTGGAGAAAAAAAGAGGTAACTTGGTGTTGGAATATTGTTTGTTTGTTTTGAATTTCGCACAAAGCTACACGAGGGCTATCTGCACTAGCCATCAATAATTTAGCAGTGAGACTGGAGGGAAGGCATCTAGTCATCACCACCCACCACTAATTCTTGAGCTACTCTTTTAACAATGAATAGTGGGATTGACTGTCATATTATAACACCTCCACAGCCAAAAGGGCGAGCATGTTTGGTGGGATGAGGATTCAAACCCACGATCCTCAGACTGTGAGTCAAGCGCCATAACCACCTGGACATGTTGGGCATCTTCCCTTTTTCCATGAGTCTCACCTCCATCATCCTTTGGAGGAAACTCTTCAGTCAGGCATGTAGCATTTGAAACAAACTCCATACAAAGGATTTGCAATTCCTTTGGTCACAGAACAATTCAATTCATAGTTACGCTTAGATTCTGCAACAGAAAAAGTCTCTTTTCTTCTGAAATATCACACTGATTCTCCACTAAGAAGACTAACTTTAAAATTCTGCATTAAACTCACTTTACCACAATTGTAGAAGTTTTATTGAAAAAATTAGTTTCATTGATGATAATAAATATTACATAATTAATGTACATTACTAAAAAGGAAAGAAGAACCATTTCTCCAATCGGAAAGTGATTTTGGAAAAAATAAGGTCCCAATAATTTTAGGAAGGATCTATTTTATAACATTTTTCATTTTGGTGCAATATAAAGTTGTTATTGACTTATTCCTTAAAAAAGTGGACACATGTGCTTTTGTATGAGAGA